GGCTGCCAGAGTGGACGTGATGCTAAAGGCAGAGCTTCAAATGCAGCTGGATGAATCTGTGTTTTGGACGGACAGTACATCAGTTCTGAAATACATCAACAATGAGGATAAACGTTTCCAAACCTTTGTGGCAAATCGGATCTCAACAATAAGAGAGATTTCAAGCCCTTCCCAATGGAGGCATGTTGGTTCCAATTACAACCCAGCCGATGCTGCATCAAGGGGAATGAAACCGACCCGTTTTCTGACTAACCACATTTGGATTGAGGGCCCCAGCTTTCTTTGGAAGCCTGAGGGATTCTGGCCAGAGAATCCTGTTGATAATAAGATGGACTCCAATGATCCAGAGCTCAAAAGGGATGCTCTTGTGAACTGTGCTGCCACTGATTCAATTAAGCCCACTGATTTTCTTATTAACTACTTTTCCGAATGGAGGAAACTCAAGATTTCTGTTGCCTGGTTTCTCAGACTGAAAACCCATTTGTTGCAGCTCATTCGACAAACAGCTCATCTGAAAGACCCTGATCTTAATAATGGGCAAGTGAAAGGAAAAAAGGCTGCAGTGACATCAAAGGGCAACGCCTTAAAGCCCAAGGATCTGTTGGAAGCTGAGTTGGCCATTGTACGCTATTGTCAGCAGCAGAGGTTCGAAAATGAATTTTCCTGCTTGCTGTCCAAGACTGGAACAGTAAGCAGACAGAGTTCCATCTATAAACTGGACCCTATGTTGGATAATGGGCTGTTGAGAGTTGGAGGAAGGTTAAGTAAAGGAGCAATGCCCATGGAAGAAAAACACCCTCTTATTCTCTCTAAAGATCAGCATATCTCCAGGCTCATTCTTAAACATATTCATCAGTTGTTGGGACACAGTGGACGAAACCATACTCTGTCAACTCTTAGGAGGAAATATTGGATCACCAATGCAAATGCAGCAGTGAGAAAAATCATATCTGAATGCCGCAATTGCAGACGTTTTAATGGGAGAGCTTTGGAGCAGAAGATGGCGGATCTTCCAAAAGAGAGACTTGTTCCTGATTTGCCTCCATTTACAAATGTTGGAGTGGATTATTTTGGACCTGTTGAAATCAAGCAAGGCAGAAAACAATGCAAACGATATGGTGTGATATTCACCTGTATGACGAGCAGAGCAATACCCTTGGAAGTAGCAAACTCCCTCGAAACAGATGCCTGCATCAATGCAATACGTCGTTTTATCAGCAGAAGGGGTCAAGCTGTTCGCATCAGGTCGGACAATGGGACAAATTTTGTTGGAGCCGAACGGGAGTTGAGGCAAGCTCTCGCTTCATTGGATCATAAACGGATTCAAGATGCTCTTACTCCATCTGGAGTTGAATGGAGTTTCAATCCACCAGCAGGATCCCATCATGGTGGAGTCTGGGAACGTATAATACGCCTTGTTAGGCGCATCCTCAACTCCGATTTAAGACAGCAACGATTGGATGACGATGGACTTCATACTGTTATGTGTGAAATAGAGGCCATATTGAATGATCGTCCAATAACAAGGCTATCAGATGAGCCAAATGACTTGGAACCTCTCACACCAAATCATCTACTGCTACTAAAAGGAAAACCTGCCTTACCACCTGGGCTGTTTGAACCGTCAGATATGTATGTGAAGCGTCGTCGGAGACAAGTTCAATACATCTCAGATTTATTTTGGAAACGCTGGATCAAGGAGTATTTGCCCCTATTGCAAGAAAGACAGAAGTGGAATCAACAGAAGCAAAATTTGAAATCTGGAGATGTCGTCGTCATCATGGATTCATCTGCCCCACGTGGATCCTGGCCTCTTGCTAAAGTAATATCGGTTTTCTCTGATAAAAAAGGCATGGTGCGATCTGTAAAACTGCAGACAAAGAACAATATCATTGAAAGACCTTTTACCAAACTTTGTTTGATACAGGGGGTGTAAATCAACAGTTATGTATTCATTTGCTCCTATTGTTATTGTATATAATTGTTATGTCTGCCTGCCATAACAATTAGGGGCCGGTGTGTAGGAGCAGATTATGAATTTCTGTATTCCAAATGGTTTGGGTCACATGATCTGTCAGCTGTCTACATAAGTATGATCCGGTGTTGATGAGGACAGGTGTGTTCCACCCGAAATGGGGAAACAGTTTTTGACCGCAACGCAAACGCAACGCAATACTACCGATACAGAAGTGAAAGCTATGTGGATCGCAGAAACAATGTATGCGGTGTTATTGTCAACATTGCCGAGTCATGGAAATAATTGATTGATAATGGATTACCTGCACTAACATCAAGGACGGTTCTCATTTCAATTAAGCGGCTAAGTAATCGGCGTGTCAACTTTACCCTGGTGTACCACCTCAGGGGCTTAAAGCTTTGGCTTAGCCTCTATAACCATAATAGCATTAAAAAAGGTGAAATAGGACCTCTTGCTCTTTTCAGAACAAGGTTTTTGGGCTTTATGGGAAAGAAGGGAAACTTATGAGTCTGTATGCTCACCAAGGAGTCTTCTATGTCATTAAAGATAAACAACAACCCAGTCAGTACATATATAATGCAGAACCATAATCGACTTAGACATAGATTTGCATCAGCTTCAACCGAATCAGACCTCTCATCACTCATTAATTAGTAAATTATATATACTCTGCTTGTTCATTTTCCTGTTGGTACTGTGCTATTAGAGTAGACTGACATTAAAATAGTTTTGGCCTCAATAAGTTTTCGGCCACACCTCTGCCCAGTTTTTCATGCCTGACCAGTGCCACCCTAATGAGCATTTCATGGCTCTGCCACTGCTCTTAGAAAGACTCCAAGATGCGTCTGACACAGGATGTGCTTTGAAACAGCAGAAATCTAACAAATATTCATATCAACAATCCACCAGAACCCACAGACCCCTGTATAATAGTCAAAACCTTTTCAGAAAAACAAAACAACACTCCACTTGTCTCAGGTTTAAGCCTGTTATGTGATTATTTGACACTGACTGTTTTCTACTGACCATCCATCAGTTTAATGCTTTTTTCATCAGGAACCTATAAAATGGACTCAGTTTAAGGTAGAAAAAAGTTCTTATGTAACTTCAATAAATAATTATTAGTAGGCAAAGAGTAATACTGGATTTAATCAGCAGTTATTGTCATATTGCAAAATAAACAGGAAAAAAGCTACATTCACTGGATATGGATTTATTTCAGAACAAAAACAAAAAAACGTAATTAATGTTTGCATCCACTGTGATGGGGGGTGCTGTCTGACATGTTTTAAGCTGATGGCCACACCTTTATTCGGTTTACTTGTAATAATTAAAGTCATCTAACCTGATTCGTTTGAGGAAAACGTCTGTTTTAAAAATAAAAACTAGTTTTAAAAGAATATTCTAAACCCTACAGGGAGAGAAACAATAAAGCAATCATTGGCTCAGGAAATATCATCTCCAAATATGAGAAAAGATTATAATCCATATGGTAAAAGAGATCTCACAAAAACTTGTCCACTCTGCTATTATGGCTTTGAATAAACTGAAGTTCTTCTCTAAGATCTGATGCATTGATCATAGCAAAACGAAGGCTCAATGTAAAAACCTAACTTCTGATTTTGTCTTTGAAACGGACTGGAAACGGAATCAATTGGCACTGTCATCCTCTTCTGTTTACAAAACTAAATAAAAACCAAGAACAAAACTTGAAGATTCAATAAATAATATTAGATGGGATTTTGTTTGCCTTGTAGGCATGGTTTAAACACTTATTTAAATGAAAAACTTGGCTTCAGGTAATCAACTGTGCTGTTTATCCCATACAACCTGGAACATTGTTTAGTTATAATGTTCCAAATCACTCAAAATATGAATATTTTCCATGGAGAGCATTAAAGAAAAAAAAATGATAAGAGATTATCTGGCTCTCAACGTTTGGTGGGTTCAACAACCAGTAAAATACCCTTTAGATCCACGGCGGTGGGATCTTAAATAAAAGATAAAGGCATAAATTAAAGACTACCATAATGACTGGTTCTCTTTTCTCTTCATATTACTGTTGGGTGTTTTTATGAGGCTCGTTTGTGCAGATCAAATTGTCCCTCTTGGGTAATAAAGTTTACCTTTGACCCCTTAGGATTGTTACTCCCTAATGTAGATGGTTTTCTTTGCTTCCTGAACGCTGTAACTGATATGTTTTCACAGACCAGTAAATGCATCTGTTGGCTTTTTCAGCCCTTTGATCAACTACCAATGATTTTAAATGAGTTTTTGTTCTTCCATATCAGTAAAAACAACAGATTTATGATATTGTTCAAAGGTTGTTTTTTTTTATTATCAACTTTCCAACTGTGTGTATCTGTTTATCTTCAGTCCATTTTTCAATCCTGATGTCTTCATCATGTAAAAGTTATCTCTCCAATGTTGTCTGGCAGGTTTTAACCTGTCCGCCACACCTTTATTGTGTTTCCTTATAACTATCAAAATGCATTTATGGCTTCCTGGAACAGCTCTTTATGTCACGGTGGAGGAAAATCTGTGAAATTTAAATATATATTTCTGTCTCCTAGAAGATTAACAAGTAAAATGGTCATAGTATGGGTACTATACCCATGCTATGACAAAATGGAGGTGTTTGTCTATGATCCAAATGTAGGTGTTTTTCTAGTGCCTCGTTTATATACTAAAACAATTATAAAGATATTACATCTGAATTTATTAGATTATGAGGTAGGGAATCATATTGATCATTTACTATAAGTATTAACACTGAAGTAATGAACAGGAACAATGGTGGCACTCAGGTGAATTTTCTTGGGTATTTCAGATGACTGAATTTTGTCCACAGCAGGATTGTTTCCATTTTATAAACTAAATCTATATCACTAAACCTTACACAAATATATTTTCAAAGTTTAACAGAAAAACAACAACCGAGGATTCACGACAAACCGCACTAACACTTTTGCTTTCACTTTTAAAAACATGAAGTTAATGTCAAAATAAAACCTCAACTTACCACTGTTCACTGTCAGCCCGGTCCCCAAAAGGACCAAAATGGTGAGAAGAGACATTCTGAACCCAAATCAGGTTCTGGTGTTCGAGTAGAACCTCTTATGCCCTGTTGTTGGAAGGCACTCCTCTCTGTGTTGCTCTAGATTCAGACCTGCTAGACTGGTTGGTAGGATTACAGGTGTTGTTTTTAATCATTGCCATGGTGCTTTCAGGGACCGTTGTCAGTTAGACAACTTTTGCTTTGCTTATAAAATTCTTACTTGAACCACTTCCACATCAGCCTCAACAAATTAAAGTTTCAGTAAACATATTTTCAGGTACCTGCTAGTTTAATACACACACCACAATTTTTTTTTAAACATTTTAATTTATTTATGCAACTTTGACACATGATCAGCTGGTTTTGGTTACATGAAAAAGTCAATTGTTGCAGTCATAAAAAGCGCTCAATTTATCAAATATGTCAAGTTAAATAATTGCTACAGCATCAGAAATCATCTTGGACAGCAGAAAATGTGGAACAAAAAAAAAAAAAAATCTTTAGATAAGAAAAAATACTTTTACAGCCTTATTTCATCACTTAATAATCCAAATCAATGATTAAAAAACATATATGTTGGCCGAACGTTCGTCCCAACCTCTAAATCTCTCAATCACTATATATTGAACTCAGTTAACTGACCGTTCGGATAGATGATCACTAATTAGGCTGTCAGGTAGCAACAGCGAAAACAAATCCCATAATGCTCCGCGAGGAGAGCTCTCCACGCAAAGCATTCTGGGATATATCTGCTCATTTGGTGACCATGGATGATCACTATATTTAATTTCGAGTTTACTAGTTTTTCATCCACTAGACGTTTAGACACTCATTTAAAATGGCCTAACCACTATATAGTGCCCTATATAGTGGTTAGGGCGGACATTCAGACACAGCCATCGTCTTTTTGCATGACAATTGGGTTCCTTATTATTTAAAGCTACAGTGTGTAATAATTACAGGGATATGAAGTCAGAAATGGAATATATTATACATAACTATGTTATTTATTATCACCTATGAGCTCAGCCTTTTAACCATAATATTTGCGTTGCCTTAGAATTCGTTATTTATAATTACATAGGAGCGGGTCTCGCAGCCATGGAGGCAGACATCTTTGCGCTACGGCAAGCGCAGAGGCATCAAACTAGCGATTGCGAGATCGCCCATTACGCTTGAAAGTAACTATGGCAAGTTGAGAGAGATGAACTGAGACGGTACTGAACAGTAGATGGCAGTATTATGCCTGAGAAGCGTTTAGTCTGCCTGAAACCAAAGAAGAAGAAGAAGCAGGTATACGGCGCTTCAGTAACAAGAAAGGTGAACAAGGCGGCAGGCGTGAGTGACTTTGCAAACTGTTTGGCACTGTGTGGCCAAACATCAGACGAATGGAGGATCATGCCTACTCTGTATCACAACGAAAAGCGGCGGACACCGAACCCCCGTCATCTAAGAAGCGGAAACACGACGAGAATAAACACAAGTGTGACAAGAAACGGCAAAAAACACGGATCAACATTGGCACGGCATTTACACAATGGAAGTCACTGATGGAGAAAAAAGGTTTTCAAAGTGACGCTCAAATCGCCAGTTTTCTGTTGGACAGGTAATTAATCCTACACACACAATTGTCTTTTTATACACGTAATACCCCACCCCCACATCCCGTTTCAACCAAACTATTGTCAAGATGTCTGGTAGCATTACCTAGATAAGGCCACAGCTTCATAAAATTACCACAGCCGAAAGTGGCGTGTGTGAGTGTGAGAGAGACAGATATATGAAGCTGCATATCAGCGAGCTACGGATATATACCTCGGTTACTTCTCTCCGGCTCCTTTGGAGATCTTCAAGCCTTTCCCCCTCTGCTCTAGTCACCCCGCTGGCACCTCTCCCTCGCCTGGCCCTGGCTGCACGCCCAACCTGGCCTCTCTGCCCTCTTCCTCGCCCTCTTCCTCTCCCTCGCCTTGTAATCCCCGTGCCACAAACAAGACTTGGACTCTGTAAACAGGGAATATATATTCTTCCAGCGAACACAATCTCGCTGTTAAACTAATGACTACAATTACTTCGTCTGTTTATATCACCATGCAAAGCAGCTCACCAAAACGTCACAACGATGTAGAAAAAATAACGGGTATATTTATTATCTTAAGTCTACATGAAATCTATACCCTACACAGACTAATGAAATACTATCTGTAAAATTATCTATGTAAACAAACCTCATCACTTGAGAAGGTAGGTGATGCGGACGTCGTGGCAGACATTTTGTCCCGTAACACTCACCGTACTGTTGGGGGGAGAAGCGGTGGGGGGGAGATGTTCATGTTGCTGCAGTCTGCAGTCTGACCGCTAGATGTCGCTGAAAATTACACACTGTAGCTTTAAGAAATCTTTTCAAGATTATGAAATAATTTCATTAGAATTACTTATCAAGCTCTGCATGAATTTTATTCATTAACATAAAAAATGTCAAAAAGACATCACACATATATTAAGCAAATTCACTTCATTTAAAGTCTACAAAACCAGTACAAATGTTCCATAAGTAATTGAATAAGGCACAAAAAATGTGTTGAGTTTAACATTTATTTCCCAATTTTTATCTTAGTCTAAAATGTGTGTGTGTGTGTGTGTATATATATATATATATATATATTTATATACACACATTAGCAGTTTATCAGATCTAATTTGTTTGCGTATTGAGATATATTTTATGCATAACCAACTTCAAATCAGGTTCTGTAAGTATTTATATATGTAGGATAATTAAATTATGAAGAATTTCAGTGAAATGGATCAAATGTCGAAATGTTGTCCAATATCAATATTTATAGTTCAGCTATCATGAAACATAACATAATCCAGTGAAATTATATGTTGTTATGATTAATATTTAAAACCAAGAAAAGAGATCAATAAAAGCTGGAGCTTAAAAAGGTTCAGTGAACGCACCATGCTGCCTTGTTTTTACAGTCTGTAACTTCCTTGTGTGGTTTAACAGAAATCAGCTCATGTTTCAGGTTTAATATGTTGAGGCTTATAACTTCTATGTTTTTAACCAGAAGTTTAACGTTATTCAGCTCATATTGAAATGTCTCCGTATCTAGAAACTGGATTTTATTAGAAAACTACACAAATGTTTTTGAAAAGATTTTTCATAGCTCTGTTTGCTAAATAAAAAAGAAACATCTGCATTGTTAATTGTTCTCCCCCAATAGATGAAAATAAAATTTAAAAAGCATTTTATTGCTCCAAGTGAATGAATAAACAGTTTGCCAAATTATCCGTATTGTTTATCTTCTCCACATGGTTTTACGTCTAAAAAGCAACAAGTTTTTTAACGAAAACACTTGTGCAGATTTTTATTTCTCCCTTCTCAAGCAAGTATGTTTTTGACTCAACTGTGTTTAAGTAACTTTTAAGGCAGCACTCTACTGTCAGAAAACTTCTTTGACTTGGAGTTTACCTACGTCTAACTACACTTAACATATGGCAATTGAATCATATTATTTATTTTCTAATACACATATTAAAAATGAATTGTTTAACGTATTCTGTGACCCTCTTAGACAATTGTTTTTGCATTTTCACTCAACAGAATACAATTAATTTACCATTTACTTTTATGTATAATCACTAGTTTATAGCATTTAAAAGTGAAATTCAGTCGTACAAACTGCTTCAAAAGATTTGCAAGAAAAAGATCAATAGATTCTCCTACTAATCTGAGTGACAGTATACTAAAAAACACTCCCGTTTTTCACCTCCATAACAGCTGGTGTGGTTCGGTAATTTTTCAAATCCACATATGTTTGTCAACTTTTGACAATCTATGACCCTTAAAATGCTCAGTTGAAGTTTCAGTCATTTAATTTGGCTTATATCAGCTTTTTAAGTTTTACTTTATGTTGGTAACATTACTTTAAACATAGACGTAGCTTTAGTGAGCAACAGATCTATGTTTACCGCATTTATTCTGTAAATCAATTTATTTAAAAGCTTTTGCAGTGTAAAAGTTACACTTTAGAAGCTCTAATGTCTCACAGGCTCACATGTAACAGCCACTTTTAAGATGCTAAAATTGTTGAAATGCTGCTATGCTAAACTTAAGGTGAAATAAAATCAAACACCCGCACAGGAAAACCTTAAAAAAGTAACATTCAAACAGAGTAACACTGTGATAACTGACCTATATGATTAAAACAGCTTAAGGACTAAAACCATGTTCACTTTAGAAACCCGCAAAACTTAAGTTTCTTATTCAGAAAGTGCTTTAGAAGCGCAGAAAAAAAGCAATACTTTTATGTTGGCATGCCTTGGGTTTAAAGTAGGCAAACTGGTTAATCAGGCTCCATGACGTGACAAAGATTTAGATGATTACTCTTCAGTAGTCACACCATTTAACTCAAGAGTGCTGGCTTCCTTCATTGGATCCACCAGCTGTTGAGACAAAATGAAAAAAGAAATGTATTCACCTTTGACAACATTAAATTAAGACATCCTATTTAATTTTTCTTAACTGAACCATGGAAGACTAACAGCCTTTCTGTTGTTTCTGAGATGAACCTTTTGTTTACCGTCATTCTTTTAACCTGAATAAAACAAAATCTACCAAAGGCTGACATGTTGGCAACATCAGAAAATCCTCAGAGAAACTGTCACCTAAAGTGCTGCGATAGCAATACTTACAGCCATGTCCTGAGTCCTTGCTCTCTTCAGACTCAATGGAGTCTAAAAAAAAAAAAAAAAAAAAAAAAGGTAAAACATCAAGGTTCATTTTTATGAATAAACATTTCAATGAAAATCATCTGTGCTTTAGAAAACATGGTAGAAACACAGCATTAAGTGTTAAAAATAAAAACCAAAATACAGCAGGTAGTTATAAATACTAAAAAAAAGCTGAATTCCCTTATAATCATTGATGAAATGAATGAAATTATGAATTGTTTGCAGTCTTAATATTCTTCAAAATGCTTAAGATCTACTTTTCTTTTTTACATTAATGCTAGTTTTGAAGCACAATTTGTCTTTTTAGATAAAAAAGGTGTGAAGCCTGACTTTTTTAAGTCTGTTGCTTTGATAAAGTATCTATATCTATAAATTAATACAAACTAGTGAATAAAACGAATCTGGTTTGAATTGAATTCTATCTCCATAAGGAATCCAGGTGAAGCTAGATTGTTTCTGAATGATTTTAACAGAGAAAATAATGATGTTTAACATAAGAAGTTCTAAAAAAATTTTTGGTTTAGAGGTTTAAATCTTAAAGGATAGCATCTTTAAAATCCAAAAGAAAAGGTAAAAAGATTTTGTTCTTTTAAATTTGAGAAAAATGCTAATCTATAACTAATAATCATGGAAATGAACTATTTAGTTGAGAACTAAAGTACTTTTGCTGAGATCTGAAGTTCTATAAATAAAAGGAAAAGAAAAAAGTAAATGTACCATTGTCCTCAGTCATGGGTTGGTTGTTACCGTTTTCTTTAGCTGTGCCTGCAAACAGAGGTAAATACAAGATATATGAAGACTGTGTTTTGACTTAAGTAGGTTAAGTAAAGCTAATGTTTATCTGAAAATAACTAAGATAATCACTCGAAAAAAAGGTTTTAACTGGGAGCAATTCAATCTGAACTTTACTCATTTAGATTGTTATTAATTAAAATAAATCAATTGTTTATCATTTATATCTAAATAACTTTTTCTAACTGAGAACAGATAAAGTAATAAAATGAAATAAAAATATATCAAAATGAAAAAGAATTACCATTGGTAGAATGACCATTGGTAGAATTACCATTGGTAGCAATGAGAGGTGTGGCAACAGCGATATAAACTGCACCTGCACATCAAGGCAAAGAAAAATAACATGAAGACGAAATGCTTTAAGAAAAACTTTTTTTCACAGTCCATTCTCCAGCAGTCACTGGATGAGGGGAGGCTACATCCTGGATAAGTTCCCAGTTCTTTAGAGAGACTCCCACAACAAATTACCACCACACTCGCTAAGGGCATCTAAGGGCAGTTTAGAGTAAACACTAAAACAAACTATACAAAATTTGGAAACCCTTTTTAGAACAACTGAAGCCATAAAGAAACCCTATCTCCCCCTCTTTTTATGTTTTTGTTTACCCCATTTGTCATGAATAAAGGTGTGGACACTTCTAATTGACTGGTTGAAACTCCATAAAGTGTTTTTTTTTTTTTTTTTTTTTTTTTACTTTCAGTATGTCTAAAGTGTAGATGAACAAATTATTTTTATATATTATTTATTGCTTGTCTAATGCTTTTTTTGTTTGTTTTTTTCTGTTTTTTTTTGTGACAAGTGCTAAAGGAATCACTAAAGGACATTAATCATTGTCATGTTCTTGTTATATACCTGTAAAAAATCTATAAAAAAAAAAAAGAAGAAAAAATACTAAAACAAACATGATTGTTTTTGGAAGCTGGTGTGCCCTGAGAGAATTCACACATCCAGAGGGAGAATATGAAAACTTAGAGCACAAACCGGTGTTCGAACCAGGGACCTCTCTGGGCTGCATCTATATAATGCAAAGGACGGCACAGGGCCGACATGATTAAACCCCACCGGAATCAGGAGGAGAGATAAGGCCAGTTGCACCGGCGTCATGCTAAGCTAGGTTCCCTGAGGTAATTTATTCCTTCTCTTAATTTGTAACACAGCTTCTGCAGGGAGAACGAAGCCTTTTTATACTTTCTTCCTCTTCATTTTACTTTAGAATGTAAATATTATTCAGCAGGTCCTTGTCTTTAATGTAAACAAAGCAGAGCTGCGCCGGTGGACCATGCTGGACATGAAGCTCTTAATAAATAGCAGGTAAAAGATTGTAATGAATATTAATGAGTAAAATTTAACGGAAATCATGTTTACATTGTTTATAACATTTGCTTTTATTTTTTACTTCTGATACTGTTTGATCAGTTTTTGTCCCCCATGCAAAAACTAAAAGCAACACAATAAAGCACTTACCATTGGAAGTGGCATCAGAGCGTCCGTTACGACCTGTAAAAAAAGAGGTGCAGATAAACAGGTTTACTGCCTAAAAACAACAAATGAAATCAAATTAATTTTTTTATTATATTTAGGGGGTTAAATTCAGTTGCTTTCAATTTAAGGTTTGATTAATATTTCTCTCTATCTCAATCTAGAGATTCATTATTATTGTTTTTAAAATTTGCTTCAGGGAAAACATTCTTTAAATAACAAATCTGAAAAAAAAATCTTTGTCACATGATACTGGAGGGTTCTGTAATCCAGTGCAACCTTTGAAATTGACCAAACAATATTGCAGACCTTTGAATGTCATAAAGATCATCAACATGACAGTTATCAAACTAACACAGGAAGCCACAGTCAGAGGTTTACATCCACACACGATGGACTGTATTGCCTATTATTCAAGGTTTCTTTGTTTCTTTAGGATAGATTGATGTACAACTTCATCTGAACTGATCATCTTTCAGTTTTCCTACTTTAAAATGATTCCCCAATTTAAATAAATCTAGATTTCTTCTTCCTGTATCTTAAACAAAGTCCCTTTTGTCTTGATCTGAGGCTCTTTAGTAATCCAGTAAACTACTAGCTGGGACCAATCAAAACAAATGATCAACCTTTATCCCCTATCAAAGAAAAAGCCTGTCATGATGTAATTAAAGATGTAGGTTAAGTAAAGCTAATGTTTATCTGAAAATAACTAAGATAATCACTCGAAAAAAAGGTTTAACTGGGAGCAATTCAATCTGAACTTTACTCATTTAGATTGTTCTAAATTAAAATAAATCAATGGTTTATAATTTATATCTAAATAACTTTTTCTAACTGAGAACAGATATAGTAATAAAATGAAATAAAAATATATCAAAATGAAAAAGAATTACCATTGGTAGAATGACCATTGGTAGAATGACCATTGGTAGCAATGAGAGGTGTGGCAACAGCGGTATTAACTGCACCTGCACATCAAGGTAAAGACAAATAACATGAAGACGAAATGCTTTAAGAAAAACTTTTTTTCACAGTCCATTCTCCAGCGGTCACTGGATGAGGGGCGGGCTACATCCTGGATAAGTTCCCAGTCCTTTAGAGAGACTCCCACAACAAATTACCACCACACTCGCTAAGGGCATCTAAGGGCAGTTTAGAGTAAACACTAAAACAAACTATACAAAATTTGGAAACCCTTTTTTTGAACAACAGAAGTCATAAAGAACCCCTATCTCCCCCTCTTTTTTTGTTTTTCTTTACCCCATTTGTCATGAATAAAAGTGTGGACACTTCTAATTGACTGGTTGAAACTCCATAAAGTGTTTTTTTTTTTTGTTTTTTTCAGTATGTCTAAAGTGTAAATGAACAAATTATTTTTATAGATTATTTATTGTTTGTCTAATGCTTTTTTTTTTTCTGTTTTTTGTGACAAGTGCTAAAGGAATCACTAAAGGACATTAATCATTGTCATGTTCTTGTTATATACCTGTAAAAAATCTATAAAAAAAAAAGTGAAAAAAAAAAAAAAAACACTAAAACAAACATGATTCTTTCTGGAAGCTGGAGTGCCCTGAGAGAATCCAAAGGGGGGATTTTAAAAATCAGAGCACAAACCGGTGTTTGAACCAGGGACCTCTCTGGGATGCATCTATATAATGCAAAGGACGGCACAGGGCCAGTTGCACCGGTGTCATGCTAAGCTAGGTTCCCTGAGGTAATTTATTCCTTCTCTTAATTTGAGGCACAGCTTCTGAAGGGAGAACGAAGCCTTTTTATACTTTCTTCCTCTTCATTTTACTTTAGAATGTAAATATTATTCAGCAGGTCCTTGTCTTTAATGTAAACAAAGCAGAGCTGCGCCGGTGGACCATGCTGGACATGAAGCTCTTAATAAATAGCAGGTAAAGGATTGTAATGAATATTAATGAGTAAAATTTAACGGAAATCATGTTTACATTGTTTATAACATTTGCTTTTATTTTTTACTTCTGATACTGTTTGATCAGTTTTTGTCCCCCATGCAAAAACTAAAAGCAACACAATAAAGCACTTACCATTGGAAGTGGCATCAGAGCGTCCGTTACGACCTGTAAAAAAAGAGGTGCAGATAAACAGGTTTACTGCCTAAAAACAACAAATGAAATCAAATTAATTCTTTTATTATATTTAGGGGGTTAAATTCAGTTGCTTTCAATTTAAGGTTTGATTAATATTTCTCTCTATCTCAATCTAGAGATTCATTATTATTGTTTTTAAAATTTGCTTCAGGGAAAACATTCTTTAAATAACAAATCTGAAAAAAAAATCTTCGTCACATGATACTGGAGGGTTCTGTAATCCAGTGCAACCTTTGAAATTGACCAAACAATATTGCAGACCTTTGAATGTCATAAAGATCATCAACATGACAGTTATCAAACTAACACAGGAAGCCACAGTCAGAGGTTTACATCCACACACGATGGACTGTATTGCCTATTATTCAAGGTTTCTTTGTTTCTTTAGGATAGATTGATGTACAACTTCATCTGAACTGATCATCTTTCAGTTTTCCTACTTTAAAATGATTCCCCAATTTAAATAAATCTAGATTTCTTCTTCCTGTATCTTAAACAAAGTCCCTTTTGTCTTGATCTGAGGCTCTTTAGTAATCCAGTAAACTACTAGCTGGGACCAATCAAAACAAATGATCAACCTTTATCCCCTATCAAAGAAAAAGCCTGTCATGATGTAATTAAAGATGTAGGTTAAGTAAAGCTAATGTTTATCTGAAAATAACTAAGATAATCACTCGAAAAAAAGGTTTAACTGGGAGCAATTCAATCTGAACTTTACTCATTTAGATTGTTCTAAATTAAAATAAATCAATGGTTTATAATTTATATCTAAATAACTTTTTCTAACTGAGAACAGATATAGTAATAAAATGAAATAAAAATATATCAAAATGAAAAAGAATTACCATTGGTAGAATGACCATTGGTAGAATGACCATTGGTAGCAATGAGAGGTGTGGCAACAGCGGTATTAACTGCACCTGCACATCAAGGTAAAGACAAATAACATGAAGACGAAATGCTTTAAGAAAAACTTTTTTTCACAGTCCATTCTCCAGCGGTCACTGGATGAGGGGCGGGCTACATCCTGGATAAGTTCCCAGTCCTTTAGAGAGACTCCCACAACAAATTACCACCACACTCGCTAAGGGCATCTAAGGGCAGTTTAGAGTAAACACTAAAACAAACTATACAAAATTTGGAAACCCTTTTTTTGAACAACAGAAGTCATAAAGAACCCCTATCTCCCCCTCTTTTTTTGTTTTTCTTTACCCCATTTGTCATGAATAAAAGTGTGGACACTTCTAATTGACTGGTTGAAACTCCATAAAGTGTTTGTTTTTTTTTGTTTTTTCAGTATGTCTAAAGTGTAAATGAACAAATTATTTTTATAGATTATTTATTGTTTGTCTAATGCTTTTTTTTCTGTTTTTTGTGACAAGTGCTAAAGGAATCACTAAAGGACATTAATCATTGTCATGTTCTTGTTATATACCTGTAAAAAATCTATAAAAAAAAAAGTGAAAAAAAAAAAAAAACACTAAAACAAACATGATTCTTTCTGGAAGCTGGAGTGCCCTGAGAGAATCCAAAGGGGGGATTTTAAAAATCAGAGCACAAACCAGAGTTTGAACAAGGGACCTCTCTGGGATGCATCTATATAATGCAAAGGACGGCACAGGGCCAGTTGCACCGGTGTCATGCTAAGCTAGGTTCCCTGAGGTAATTTATTCCTTCTCTTAATTTGAGGCACAGCTTCTGCAGGGAGAACGAAGCCTTTTTATACTTTCTTCCTCTTCATTTTACTTTAGAATGTAAATATTATTCAGCAGGTCCTTGTCTTTAATGTAAACAAAGCAGAGCTGCGCCGGTGGACCATGCTGGACATGAAGCTCTTAATAAATAGCAGGTAAAGGATTGTAATGAATATTAATGAGTAAAATTTAACGGAAATCATGTTTACATTGTTTATAACATTTGCTTTTATTTTTTACTTCTGATACTGTTTGATCAGTTTTTGTCCCCCATGCAAAAACTAAAAGCAACACAATAAAGCACTTACCATTGGAAGTGGCATCAGAGCGTCCGTTACGACCTGTAAAAAAAGAGGTGCAGATAAACAGGTTTACTGCCTAAAAACAGCAAATGAAATCAAATTCATTTTTTTATTATATTTTGGGGGTTAAATTCTGTTGCTTTCAATTTAAAGTTTGATTAATATTTCTCTATCTCAATCTAGAGATCTATTATTATTGTTTTTAAAATTTGCTTCAGGGAAAACGTTCTTTAAATAACAAATCTGAAAAAAAAAAAATCTTTGTCACATGATACTGGAGGGTTCTGTAATCCAGTGCAACCTTTGAAATTGACCAAACAATAATGCAGACCTTTGAACGTCATAAAGATCATCAACATGACAGTTATCAAACTAACACAGGAAGCCACAGTCAGAGGTTTACATCCACACACGATGGACTGTATTGCCTATTATTCAAGGTTTCTTTGCTTCTTTAGGATAGATTGATGTACAACTTCATCTGAACTGATCATCTTTCAGTTTTCCTACTTTAAAATGATTCCCCAATTTAAATAAATCTACATTTCTTCTTCCTGTATCTTAAACAAAGTCCCTTTTGTCTTGATCTGAGGCTCTTTGGTAATCCAGTAAACTACTAGCTGGGACCAATCAAAACAAATGATCAACCTTTATCCCCTATCAAAGAAAAAGCCTGTCAGGATGCAATTAAAGATGTAGACAAATCTATACATTTATTTGAGTGTAAATGACATCTATAACACTTTCTAAGTTATACTATCAATTATTGCTTAATTAATATAATAGAAGTCTTAAGAATGAGTCACATGATTAAGTTAAGAGCCAAAATAAGATGCACATCCTTAATGAAAGCATGACAATTCCTGGTAACTAAGGTTTCTTTGTCCTGGGAGAGAAACCCTCTGCCTTCTCCAAGTTTTTATTTTCTGTTTTGAAAAAAGAAAAACAATATGCAAAAATGTATTTACTCCATCACAGCAATGTACTTACTGGTACCGAAGAGCTTGTCTCTACACAGAAACAGAACAGCACAAATGACCCCGCCCAAGACAATCAATGCAACCACGACGACAATGATGGTTGGATCGCCGCTTTGATCAGGAACTAAAACAGAACATCAATTCTTATTAGTTTTATGGTGATATAACATTAAATATCTGTGTGACAGAAAAAAAAATCTGATAAAGAAAATTATAATGGAAACACAGTGCAAGTTGCAGTATGAAGAAAATAAATAAAAATTCAATTTTAACCTGAGTGAATTTTGAATTGAACTTGGGGTTTGATGTTTAAAGCCGAACAATCTAACTTATTAAAAATAGCTGAAATAAATTAAATCCAACTGAACACATTTCAAAATAAAGGTGAAAGAGCAAAGATAAGGTGTTAAACTTTAGGACTAATCTTCATCAGTGAAAACATTTTCTGACATTTTTTTTAATGGAAAAAAAAAGAATTTCTAGATCTAAAGAATCTAAAAGAATATCTACATCCATACTAGATACTTATTTCACATCGGTAGGTGGTAAAAATGACTGTTTGCAGATCATACTCATGTTTGCAGTCATTGTGATCACTAAAGAAGAACTGGTTCAATAACCCTACAGAGAGAGTCTGCGTGTACTTTAATATAGCAGGAATAACTATCGTAGTAAATGAAAAAAAATTAATCTGTGAGGAAAGAATAATGTCGTACAAAGAACTCCATCTTTGTGATTGCCAAAGTTTTAAAAAAAAGTAAATATCATAATTACCTCTAACTGCTTTGCCACTCCCTAACTGCTGGTAGGAATAGGGATTTGAATACAGCGTAGCTAACTAGTTTTACCAGTCTTATCTAATGTGCACATTGTCGGTGGGAACAAACCAACTTGTTGTCATAGACGCAGCAATCTAGTCTAAGTGAAGGCTTGACGAAGTTAAAGAACGCTAAAAAGTTAAAACAGATATGAATCATCAGTGCTGCATTTGCTCTGTGTGATGGCTTAACACGCATTGCAAACATGGAATTGAAGTGACTAGATCACTGTAACTGTATTGCTTATTAGGGCTGGGCGATATAGAAAAAAAGCTTATCGATAAAAAAAATGCATATTGATCGATATCGATAATTATTGAAAAGATTTG